CTACATGGGTCACATTGACTCACAGCCAGGTCCTGAAAGAATCGCGGCGCGTGACACGAAGGTCCTTTTGCGGCTCCGATCTCGGGCTCCTCAAGGGCATCGCTACTAGTATCAAGAAGCTAGTAGTAGCTCCTGGCATTACTACTAACAGGAAGGTACTCTAAGACATTGTCATTTAAGAGACTGCCAATTTATCGGTACAGTCTACGAGAAACGAAGGACTTCACCTCGAGGTGTCATGGAGGCGTCTGTCACCTGCAATGAAGCAGTTAGTTTAAACTACGCTTCCTTGAAAAAGCACTTCGGTCCATGAAGACAGGATGCTACTAGCAACAAAGGGCATCGCTACTTGGAGCAAGGACGCTATTAGGGGCTCCTGGCCTTACTAGGAACAAGGTTCGCTACTACTAATTTTGGATCCTGATTAGTAAAGGGGGGTCCCCCCCCTCCTTCAACCAAATGGGGGACCCTCTATAATAAACTACCACCAAAACGAATCTGGGTTCCTGTGAGGATTCCTTTTTGTAATTGATTGTAGTATTAAGTTTCCTTTCTCTCTTTGTAGTAGTAGTAGTAGTAGCAGTAGTAGTAGTAGCAGCATGTGCAGCTGTGAGTTAGACGCAGCTCTCAGCTCAAGCTTCCTCAGTGTTTCCTCAGCAGGGACTTTGCGAGGCATCCCTTGGTAGTATTAGGAATTACTAGTTTTTACTTTTCTTCAGGAAAAAACTTTGCACAATTGAGGACCCTTAAAACACATTCATTATTGAGGATCACGGGCCTTCCTGTTCTACTACCTTGAAAATTTGTTTAGGAGCAATGTGTTATAAAGGATTTAATTAGGAATTGGTGGTTTTGGAAAGCTGTCAGTCTTGAAGAAACCTAGAGAAACCTATATCAGCTAATGAATCATAATCATTGGCCTCAGGAGCTAAGTAAAGGAAGATTCCATGAGCAAATCTTTTTTTTTCCAGTGGAAAAACTTTTCACAATTGAGAACCCCTAAAACAAATCTATTATTGATGATCAGGTGCCTTCCTGGTCTACTACCTTGAACATTTGTTTAGGAGCAATGTTTTTTAGAGGATTTAATTAGGAATTGGTGGTTTTGGAAAGCTGTCAGTTTTGAAGAAACCTAGAGAAACCTATGCCAGCTAATGAATCATAATCATTGGCCTGAGGAGCTAAGTAAAGGAAGATTCCATGAGCATATCTTTTTTCCAAGTGCAAAACACTTCTCTTATCTGCTTGCCTGGGAAGGGAGGGGGAGTGCAGGTGGACAGGGTTCAGAAGGAATTCAAACCCTTATAAAGTGTCCAATAAAAAAAAGGTCCACCAAACAAATTAGCATTATTCAGGACCACTTTTTCAAACATGGGATCTGGAATAATTTTGGAAAAAATTAGCATTATTGAGGTCCGGTTTACTAATCAGCATCCAACATTAACTAAGCACCTCTGAACGAAGACATCCTTCAATCATCGACGAGTAAAGAAATCCTCGCCTGTCGAGACACTGAGGGAGACCTCGAGCTTGGCAGCAGCGGGTTGGGGCGGCTCGGGGATCTGGAACCTGAAGACACAACGGGCATTCCATCTCAAACATCTGGACGGAACCAAACACCGTGTCGAATACCCATTGACTTAAGAAGAAACCGTTAAAGGTTGTGTCAATCAAGGAAACACCTGGAAACGAGACAAAAAAAGCATCTCAAAAAGGAAAAGCGAGAAACAGAGTCCAGCAAAGCGTGTTTGTTTCGTTGATAAGGTGACTTTCCCACAGTGATCCATGGAATCCATGACGCTGGGGCACCCCAGGGAGACGCACGATCGCCGGGAAGTGACTCAGCATAGCAGTCAGTCGTAAGGTCACAAAGTTCTTTGTGTGCTGGCCAGTGAGGTCCGCACTGCATTGGTTTCTGGTGTAGAAGAATCCTGCATGTGCGCTTAATCAAGACCGCTGGATAAAGGACCAAGCTGATTGTTGACAGCCCTGCATCGCCATCCATTCTCGCAACTGTTCTCTCACATTAAAGTAGGATCTGGGTCCATCACCACGATAAAGATCAAAGTATAACGTAGACGCTTAGACAACAATCAAACCAACCGTACTGGCAACCGTCCAGTCCGATGTGCGACCGTGTCTGGATATAACAAGTGCATCGCTACAAGTAGTTTCTAGCTACTAGTAGCGATGCACGTGCTACTGATAGCGATGCACTTGTTACTATAGCGTGAGCCATCCTGCGTCCATACTAGTAGCTTACTTGTAGGTGCTAGCTACCTCTCCCTACTAGCTACCTAGCTACCTTACTACCCACCTCCTAGCAGCCTACCCCCCGTTTAGAAATAGTATAAATAACGGTTATACCGATTATACCATACTGTCTGACATCAGTGAGTCCGGATCAGCGACCAGTTTTCGTGCTGAGTGACGACTGTCGGATCAGCGGCTCTTCTAGAAGTCAACCTGATATATATATATATATATACATATGACAAGTGATAAGGTTCACGTGATCACCTTCGATTAGCGATTTTGCGTTCGCACTAATGACAGTAGATGAGCAACTGCCAGACTAGAAACTAGCAAGAAGCTGTGATTGAAGATGGAAGGCAAAATGGAAGAATTAGCATCAGTAGACCCATGCGACAGGTAAGGGTGGCGGATGTTGACCACCGGGTTCCCCATGGTGACCCGATCCTGGCCACCGATCCGGAATGGTCGGATATGGTCGGGTCAGGTGGTCTGTGGGTGTGTGGGTGACCGATCTGAACGACCGATCAAGTGTGGTGGGGTTGGGTGTTTGTGAGCAACTATCCGCAAATCCGCAGTCTGCATGAATACTGCATGGAGACTGCGGGGTTGGGTTGATTTGCGGATGGGGTTGGGTGTTCTCCATTAATACTGGTCGCAAATCCATCAAATCCGCAGTCTCTGATCCAAAGTGGTCACTGATCCATCTAATCTGGTCGCTGGTCGCTTATCCGGTGTGGCCATTGATCCTAGACGCTGATCCAGACCCCTACTCCTGATCCGATCTGTTCTTGTGTTCAGCATCCTGTTTGTATGGATGCTATATGGTTAATCTGTCTTCGATTATTTTTATCTCTCCTTTTACCTCACCTAGACAAATAAATGCTGTCGACGCACCTCTAGTCGCTTCTCAGGCGGCTGGGTTTTCCTGCAAAGCTGAAGGCTTCAGCGCTGACAGCTTTCAGCTCTTCGGTCTGCGCCTTGAGTTCTGGTTTGCCAGGAGTGGATTCGGTCGCCCTGAAGGCAATTCCAGTCCCGTCCTGCAACAATCACCGACACAAGCTCATCTAGTCATAGTAAGCCTTTCTGTCTTCACCAATATTGATTGGAAAAACAAGCAAGGCTATTCTTCATGTCCCGACATCTGTCCCGGCTGTTCCGCTTGTCTTCGTGCTCTTGGGGATGGGTGGCTTTCGCCTGGGTGTTGGGCGGCTTGCTGCGACATCAGTTTTCTACTCCATCTACTCAAGATCCATAAATCTGTGAGAATAGAATTTTCGTGCACGGCCTCACGGGATTGGCTGTGATGACAGGGATTTCGGAATCATCCTGTGACCAAACAAACTCATGGTGCTCCAAGCAAAATCCATGCACCAAGTCGATTTGACAAGCAAAATCCTGGAAACCTCTCGATTCCAATCCATGCACCTCTCGTCTTGGATATTCAACCCCACGGCCGGCGTCCTCCGTGTCCGAAGCCCAAGGATCGAAAGGCTCCCGTTCCGCTGCGACGGTGGCCCTGCCACGGTGGTCAATAGGCTCGGAAACCCGGTTGAAGGGCCTGGACTGTGGGCCTCGTGACGGGCTTCGAAGCTTGAACCTCAGTGTCGAGTGGTCCCTGCATGGGATGACTCTGAATGAATGGAATGTCAGAGATCAATCAGTCACAAATCCGAAAACTCAAAGACTCGCGAGTGACCGTCAGTGACCCTCCATGTTTGGGATGTTTTCTTCAGGCCAGTGACCTTGCCATCTGTGTTTGCACGTCGCAGGCGCTGCGTGCCTGGCAGAGGCAACACTCCGCTGACAGAAAGAAAGTGGCGACTTGGCACGAGGCCTGCAGATGGAAATGTATATATCCAGACCCACACACCAAGTCTCACTGCCAGCAAATCAAACAATGGCCACAGCTTTAACGTCATGAAAAAGGATTGCAAAACAAAAATGCATGGACCCAGGAAAAGGGTAGGGCACACCTAAACGAGGCTGGACATTCCGAGAGATTACTGGACAGGACTGATGCAGTATCAATATGAATCAACATGCAAGTTTCCCAAAAAAATCTGGAAACCAAATCATTAGTGCGAAGAAGCGTGAGCCCCATACTAGTAGTTTACTTGTACCTCTCCCTACCAGCTACCTACCTCTAGCTACTACCTCTGGCGGCCTACCCCACCTATGCAAAATGGAGATCTGAAGCTCTGCAGCTTTTGAGTAAGCCCCTGGTAGCGATGCGCTTTGCTCCTAGTAGCGATGCCAGGAGCCCCTAGTAGCGCCCTCTTGCTCCTGGTGGTAAAGCCAGGAGCCCCTAGTAGCGTCCTTGCTTTTGAGTGGGTCCTGTGGAAAACAGCTGTTCCGCCGGCCTTTCTCTCTGTCAGGCATCTGTTCACTCGGGTCAATTTGTTGACCTGGCGTTCGCACGGGTTGAACAACTCGGCCATTGACCTGGCTGCTTCGGCTTCTAAGTGACACGTCTGACACATCTTGCCCAAAGACCTCGAGCTTGAAAAAGCTGTGGTCGTTAACCTTGGAAAGATTCCCAATCTGCATTGATTGGTGTGGCACGCTGCTCAGTCTCCAGCGGCTCATTGGAGAAAAACGCCGGCTCAGCGCAAGGCTTGAGCCAAAGGCTCGTAGGGTGCAAGAGTGTGAAACACAAAGCAAAACAACACAAGGAGTGCATCGGGATTGGATATTTCCTGCTTCAATGTGACAGTCAAATAAAAGCTTTGATTAAGGTTCCAGACCGAGGTTGGGGCTTCTTTGCCTGCCCCCACAAGTAGGACTGTCTGGTGGCTTGTCATGTCTGTTTTCGTCCAGTCTTGTCAGCATCCGTGCAACTGAACAACAAGTGACCTTCCAAATGCGAGGCTCCTGACACGCAGGCAAGCTGAAAGCAAGATCAGAACTGGTCTTAGAGTGTGCAAAACCTTCCAGTTTCTTTTCAGACTTCACTTGCTGCATATCGTGCACAATGCATCCTACTAATGAGCTGAGTTGTGGTTCACAAGTTGTCTCTGTTTCTTTCAGAACTCAATGATTTGCATCACGACTCCTCCTTGACCTCAGATTGTCTGAAGCGGCCTGCTGCTAGGGAAAGAGACTGGAAGAAGTGGACAAACAACGTCTGCAAGTCATTGAAGCCATTCAATTAGTGCACCACAACTTCTCGGTGGTCTGTGTTTGGTATTGTACCTCCCAAACCCCTGAAGAACACCTCCACACTGATGATCAACGCTGACGATACCCTTAAAAAGTGTGTTGGAAGGTGTTGGCCTCCGGAGAAATCCCATTTCCTTGATTGTGATGTTCACACATTCCGGAACACATCTTATTTCCATCATCAATCGAAGACCGTCCGCTGTTTGGCATCGAAGCATCGTCCGCTGCACTTTTCTCTCTCTCGATGCAGCACCGCTGCTGGCGCTAATGTGGCATCGTCTGGCGAGCAACACAGGGCTGAGCTCGCAATCCACTTGACAGTCCAAGGATCAAGAATCCGAAAACAAACAAATTGCTCAAGACTCAAGAAGGCTAGGAATACACAAACACATCATACTTTATGAAAAATGCCTGGTGACCTGGTGGTCTTATTTTCTCTACAGTGTTTAGCACTTCGTTCATGTCTTTCGTCATCGGCCCCACCCACCTTGTGCCGTGTCTCACGCCGCTCTGGTTCCACATCGCAGCAGGTGTTGACCCGCATGCGCATGGTGGTGGCTGCTCGTTGTAATCGCGTGTTCTCCTTTTGCCTCGGCTGAAGGTAGGGTGAGAACAGGTCTTTGCATCGTGCAATGAAAGCTGCGAAAGCTCTTTTTTCTGTGTCTGCCACCTGGGAAGGATGCAAATCGCAAGCCTTTCTCCCAAGGTCTGTCATCATACGCTTTCGAAGGAAGCTCGCTTTTCCAAAACGCAATTTCTGCTGGCCGAGCAACTTCGGGGGAGGCAATTCAGGCCTAGGGGAACTGAGAGGGGAACTGAGCTATGGAATAGTAACAAGAAGCTACTAGGAGCAAAGGGCATCGCTATTAGGAGCAAGAATGCTACTAGGCGCTCCTCGTACTACTAGGAGGAAGTAGCTACTAGTAACAAAAAGTGGACTCCAACGGCGCTGAGTCGCTGCTTGTAGTGGCCGTACACGCGTGGAACCTCCGGTGCACCTGCGACACCCTCTGGTCGAACCAATTGGACGGTCATGGAAGTACTGGGAACAAACATATTTAGAGTATGTCTCTTTTTGGGGTTGAAGCAGGGCAGGCCGTAGCCAGAAGCTAACTTCGGGAGTAGCTAATTGATCTATATAATTGTAGTATTTACGGATCGAGTAGTATGTAGGAAGGAGACGCAAAAAGCTACAAAGTTCGGCGCAGAAGAGCTTAGGCTTGATTGACATGATTCCTAGACCGTGGGAAACTAAGGCTTCTCTGGCTCTGCCGCTCTGCCACTTTTACAATAGCTATTGCTTGAAACACCCTGCCTTCACTCACTTTGGCAGGAATTTCACTGAACTCAAGCTGCTCCCATCGAAACCTCGATTCTGGAACCAAAATGGCAGTCCGTATCTTTATCGAAACACTATGCGTTTTGCATAAGCACGATGCTATTAGTCCGTTCTCAGGTGTTTCTGGAAAGCTCCGGAGGCCTGTGAAGGAATGTGTAGTACGAAAAGGCCATGAACAACGCCTTGATTGCTGAAGGCAACACAAGAAGAGTCAAGCGAAGCAAGTCAATCTAAACTCATTCTGTATGTTGTGTTGCTCGGAACTCTTTCAAAACTGGTAGAATATTGATGCGTCTTCTCCCTGCTGCAGGCAAATCACACTTGTACTGCAGATGATGCCGGGGGCAGGGTTCGGAGCCCTCTGCAGCAGGAGCACAGTCATCAAAGCGATGTACCTGAAAAACGGCAAGCTCAAAAGCCAAGAATGAAGCATTGTTTTGGCTTTGAGTTCATGTGAACTAGGCTAAAACAAGCGTTTCATCTTTATCGATCCCAATGAGCCAAGCTGCAAAAAAGTTCCCTGCTGCGCATGTTTCAATTGCTGGTGCCTTAGCTCACTCCTTCGTAAAAGCCCCTCAAAGGCTGCAAAACTTAAGTTTTCTTAAACATCTAGGAACCAAATCAGTAGTGCGTGAGCTATCTTGCGTCCAGTTCCTAGTAGCTTAAGTAAGCTACTACCGACTCCCTATAGCTACTACCTCAGCGGCCCCTCCCCGCGGGCTAAAATAGAAAAAACATGAAAACACCGGAAAAACTATAGATATAATAAGTAGATGAAACGGAGAAAGATCAAGATGCCAGGCGTAGCCTCCAAAGATCACACAGAGCAGCCAAGCTGCCAGAAAAGGCCACCAAGGTCTGGCTTGAGGGTTTCGGCGTAGACAAACCTAGGAAAGGAAGAAGCCAAAAGCCAAAGCGTTTCCAAACGTTCCATCCACCTCTCACAATTGTCCACAAAGCTGCAGCCAAAGCGCAAATAGGTAAAAACAAGCCGGCAAATTGCAAAGAAGATTGCTCCAAAGATGGTAATCACAGGCGCTAGCGTGCCTGATTCTGATCACGGATTGATGTGCCAAAATAAAACAATCTTGCAGTATTGTTCTGGATGCTGCTGAATTTCTTGATGACATATCTCCGTATCTCCCTCCCTCTTCTCCAAGCTCATGTTGCCGCTTAGATGCCAAGAACGAGCACTAAGACATATATCAAGCTTAAACGAGCACTCCTTCCTCCCATGCCATTGTAGTCCTGCCAAGTTGCCAAGCGAAGCTCTCGGCTTGAGAGTTTGCTTGCTGCAACAATCACCTTCCATGTCACCTTCCTTCACCGTTGTCAACCAAGAAAAAGACTTTGATCATCGTCGGTCCTGATCCTCTGGCTCTGATTTCGAGATTGCCAGCGATTCCTTCAGGTCCAAAGACCCAGAAACCAAGCGGTTGGGTCGACATGGTTCTTAAAGCATCAACAGACCATCAACTTGCTCCAAACATGGTCCTCGTAGATACAACTGTGGATCCTGTACCGATAAAGCGGCATCAGCCGAAGCATCGCCAACATGTAGACGCAGCAACTCCTGAGGCCAAACTCAAACTAGCTTTCAGGAAGGCTATACAAAGTGCTAAGACACTGGGGTGGGCGCAATATGACAAAGTCCATGCAAAAAAGAGTGCTATCTGCGAACTTCTCGGCCAATCGAAGTGGAATGTCCTCAAAACCAAAGAGCATGTTCTTCCACAAAAAAACTGAAAGCTTTTTGCATGTGTGTGTTCTTCCACTTTTCAACTTTGCCTTCCATTCCTCATCTGCATGTCTTCCAGTGTCCTTTGGAGTCTTGAACAAGTCATCCACAACGTCGGTAAGTGACTTGCCCACAGCAGTCACGAAGAGAACCAAAATAACCAAATAAACATAGTACCATCTTTGCAACAGGTGCCTCACTGCAAAAACTCATCCATAGAACTCGCAAACGCAAACGACTCACCGACTCAACAGGTGTCACAGGTAGACGCAGTGCACTCTTCGGCAAGTTGCTGCAAGACTCCACGTGCCTCAAAGGGCACACGTCGTAACACATCGAGTCTTTGAAGCAGCAGTGAGACAAAGACCAGCCTTCAGCACGAAGAAGTTGACCAGAATGGATGCCAGGATTGAGCAAAGCACTCCGATCAGGAAATTCCTGAGACCGTGACGTGCCCGATGTTGCAAACAAGCATATTCATATACAGTAATGAAACTAGCTGCATACTTCTTGTCAAATCATGAACAATTGTGGACAGTCTGCTTCTCTGTTCAACAACACCAAGTGTGTCTTCATGATTTAGGGCAAGTCCACATTTCAGGAGCTGTTAGCTTAAGCGACTCACCCTAAAGCTTCATGGCTGCTCAGGATAGGCAAGCAACAGGATCAATGGTCCAACAAGAGCGTCAGAAAGAACTTCCAAGACCTTGGAGAGCTGACCCCGCTAATAAGAACAAAGTGCAAGAAACTTTGTTTTGCTTGCTCCATGTTTGTTTGGGGAGGGTGGGTAACTTACTGTACATGGGAAGGAAACAAAGGTAGTAACTTGAACCTGTCACATGGTTGAAACTATCACAAGCCAGACTTCGCTCTCTTCGCTCTCAATTTTGTCACATGCAACATGCAACTTGCACACATCTTGACATTCGAACATGTTCACCTCAGTGCCAGTTGAAGTCGCATGATGTCGATCCATGAATGTGGCAAACTCAGCAGAATTCTTCCTCAGAAAGTGTTGAAGAAAAGTCTGCCAAGCTGTCCCCGCTGCGGCAAAAACCATGGGAGAAATACTGCCAGTCCACATGCAATTCTGGCCATGTTGCTCCCAGATCGTCACGTTTGTGAAGCTGGCATTTATGGCGACCTGGAAGGTCGCCCTCACTTCAACCGACTACTGCATTAAATAGTCAGATCTTGTTTCCCAGCAAAACTCGAACGACATCACGGAAGGCATCTTCACACTGCGCTGATGAGCGCAGCTGTGTCACACATTATCTGCAAGCGGTGCACCAAGGGAAGGAAGATCAGGAATACCAGGGTCAATAGCAAGTAGCCAATTAAATCCCAAGCCCATTGCCTGAGCCAACATACTTATGCAGTGACCATCACATGCTGCACTCTGAGATCCACAAAGGCATCAGCTGTAAACAAGTCCAGTGACCATTGTGCTGGACGCAAATCGTTCCATATCACATCATCAGTGTCTGGTGGGAGCTCAGCCTGAAAGTGGACCAGAATGCTGATCCAAAGCCAAGATGTTGCAAGCAATCAACAGTTGATTTTTCAAAAACAAAACACACATCCAAGTGTCAATGATGTCTTCATTGCCACCAGGTGCAAAGAGCTTGAGCACAATGACGGCATCATGACGGTCATGAAACGTAACAAACCTCAGATGGACCATCAAATGGACCAAGAATGGTACCTGTCCTGCAGGACATACTGGGACATCGCTACTAGGAGCAAGGACGCTACTAGGGGCTCCTGGCCTTACT